TTTTCAAACTGTCATTTCCAGATACCTGTAATACACATCATAATGAATCTTAAATCCAGTGTAAAAATATCTGAGCTCATGATCCAGTTCCCATGCTTCTCCTTTCCCAGCTTCCTCTCCTGCCCCACTTCCCATTATCCAAACTCAAAACTGAGATATTTTGATTTCTTTCTTTTTCCTTCTTTAAATATTATAAAGCCCTTCACATCCATTAAGCCCAAAATATCTCTAAAATATGACCCTCTTCTTTCTAGTCTTTAATTGAGGTCTAGTTTCTTGTTTACTCTTTCTGTCTCACTTATATTCTACTCATTTTTTCAATATGTTTTCTTTTGTTTTGAAATTGAAACCTTGAAATGAAGTGTTTTGTGGCTGTTAATTATAAAGGCTTTACTTCCCTACTCAGACACCTCCATTGATTCCCTGATGTTTATGGATTAAAGACCAGATGTGCCCTACCTGATTTGGTTCAGTGGATGGAGTGTTGGCCTGTGGACAGAAGGGTCCCAGGTTCGATTCCAGTTAAGGACACATACCTCGGTTACAGGCTTCTCCCAGGCCTGGGCCATGGTCTGGTCAGGGTGTGTGCAGGAGGCAACCAATCGATGTGTTTCTCTCACCTTGATATTTCTCTCTGTCTTTCCTTCTCTCTTCCACTGTCTCTGAAAATCAATGCAAAAATATCCTCAGGAGAGGAATAAATACATACATACATACATACATACATACCAGATGCTGTAGGCATTGAAGAACCTGCATAGTGTAGTCCCAGACTTTCTCTACTGATTTAAGTCTGATTACACTATGATTCATCCAGGTTATTCTGTTGGTGCCCCTGAATACAAGCAGAATGTTTCTGTTTTCGTCCTATATAGGTATTGCTGCCCTTACCTGAAATATTCTTTCCTTTTTCTTTTATGCCTATTCTCTAAGGTTCAATTCAAATGCCCCCTATTCCATGAGATTTTCCCATAATACTCTAGCCTTCATTGAGCTCATTCCTATCCTATAATATTATTGAACAACTAGAGTCCCAGTGCACAAATTCATGCACGGGTGGGGTCCGGCTGGCCCTGATTGAGGTGGGGGTGAGGGGAGGGCGATCAGGCCAGTTGGCTGCCACAGTGCATGTCATAGTGGCCGGTCATTTCGTTGTTCTGGTTGCTTGGCTTTCATAGATAGATAGGTAGGTAGATAGATAGATAGATAGATAGATAGATTATTTGGTGCTAAGAACTAGGGCATTTTACTGTTATTTAATCCTTCCTGGCTATCTTATAACACTGGTTTTCTCTTTTTAAATTATTTTTATTGAAATTTAATTCACATACATTAAAACCTACCCTTTTAAAATCTTTTAAATATATTTACAATGTTATGCAACCATCACCATTATATAATTCCAGAACATTTTCATCACCCCCAAAGGAAATCTGAATTAATTAGCAGTCACTCTCCACTCTCCTTCCCACCCCACCAGCCTCTGGTAACTGGTAATCTACTTTCTATTTCTATGTATTTGCTAACTATGGTCATTTTATATCAATGGAATCATGTACTATATGGATTTTTGTATCTGGCTCTTATACTTAACATGATGTCTTCAAGTTGTGACATGTACTAGTTCATCATTCCTTTTGATGGCTGAATAATTGTTTATTATATGGATATACCACATTGATTTATCTACTCATCAGTCAATACACTTTTGGGTTGTTTTACTTTTGGGCCATTATGGATAATGCTCCTATGAACATTTGTAGAAAAGATTCTGTGTGATCCTATATTTTCAATTTTCTTGAGTATATATACCTACTAGTAAGCTACTGGGTCTTATAGTAACTTATGTTTAGCTTTTTGAGAAACTGACAATTTTTCAAAGTAGCTACAGCATCTTACATTACCACTAGCAGTGTGTGAGATTCCAATTTCTTCAAATCCTCACCAACAGTCATTACTTTATTTTTTATTATAGCCATCCCGAGTGTGAAGTGGTATCTCATTGTGGCTTTGATATACATTTCCTTAGTGACTTGAGCATTTTTCATGTGCTTATTGACCATTTGTACATTTGGAGAAATATATATTCAAAAATTTTGCCAAGTTTTTTTAAGTGGCTTATTTGTCTTTTTATTGTTGACCTGTAAACTTTCTTTATACATTCTGAATACTAGACCATTATCAGATACATAATGTTCAAATATTTTCTCCCCTTCGATGGGTTTTATTTTTGCTTTCTTTATAGTGCCCTTTGACACACAAAGGTTTTTAATTTTGGTAATATTAAATTTATTTTTTTCTTTCTTTGCTTATGATTTTGGTGTCATATCTAAAACATCATTGCCTAATTCAAGACTTCAAACATTACACCATGTTTTCTTTTAAGGATTCTATAGTTTTAGCTCTTAGATTTAGGCCTCTGACAGACTTTGACAAGGTTTGAAGTGTTAAGCCACATTTTGAATAACGAGAAGAGGAAATACTTTTTTTTCTCAAGGTTTCTGCAGCTCCAAAAGTGATTTGCAAAAAAATAAAATAAAAATGGAAATACCCTAAGTAACCAATTATAGAAGAATGGTGAATTCTATCTTGATTTAATGGAGGGCTAAATTGCAACTAAAAATTATACTTGTGAAAATTATATATCAGTAAGGAAAATATTTATGAAAATGGTAAGTATAAAAGCAGATTATATTATACAGTGACTATAAGTGGGTAAAATTCTTTCTTTATTGTTTTATTGCTTAAAGTATTACAAAGAGTATTACATATGTCTCCTTTTTTTTCCCGCCCTTGACAATCCTCGGGCCTCCCCTAACCCCCAGTGTCTTATGTCCATTGGTTATGCTTATATGCATGCATACAAGTCCTTCGGTTGATCGCTTACCCGCCTCCCTCCTGCCCTCCAATCCTCCCCGGCCTTCACACTGCAGTTTGACAATCTGTTTGAGGAGGGGTGCATATATCCTTTCTGATTGGTGTTTCTGATTTCTTGGGATATATTCCTAGAAGTGGGATCACAGGGTCAAATGGGAGTTCCATTTTTAGTTTTTTGAGGAAACTCCATACTGTCTTCCATAGTGGCGGCACAAGTCTGCATTCATAAGTGGGGAAAATTCTGTATTACTATGAATAAGGGTGATCAATCACCCTGGTTTGCCTTGGATTATCTGGGTTTTAGCACTGAAAGTGCTGCATCCCAGGAAACTTCTCAGTCCTGAACAATCTGGGGTGGTCAGTCACCCTATAATGAAAAAAATTGTCCAAGGGATAATTGAGGAGAAAGTCATAGAAAGGATATTCATTCTTTTTTACCAGTAGGCATTATCAGTGTCTCATACTATAAGTGGTTATGTGAGGTGGGTAAAAACTAATTATTTGAGATCATAAAATGAATAAAATAAATTCTTAAGGAAACCACAGATTTGGAAGGGGAACCTCATATGTATTTCAGAAGTGGAGAAAATAAGAAATAAGAGATTGTCTCTTTTTATGGTTTTCTCTCTTTTTTTTCCCATTGAGTCTAGCATTGCCATGCCCTCTTCCCTTTTCTCTAGTTCAATGCAGGAGTGCCTGCCATATAATTCAGTCAAATTCTAAAGTGCTAACAGTGAGGAACACATTATTAATGACCTGTCCCATGAAAATTTTCTTTGAGAAAGTGTATATGTAAGAATATACCGATATTAATAGTCAAAATCCTGATACTTCACAATTCACACCCAGATTAGGGTTGTGTGAATATGAACTTAAGGTTTTAGGAGCCTCACGTGGTCTGATATTATAGGAATAAAGAAGACTTGGGGAAATACCATGTTGGAATCATTTATTGCAGATAAGAACACCAATATAGTTTTATTTATTTAAAGCTAATTTTGAGGACTTTACATAGAGAAATATCCTACCTCCTTTTTTTTCTAATCAGAGGAAATATCTTCCATTGGTGGCCCCTAACAAAATGGAAATATCACAGGGAGTGGAAATTACATTGTCTAGGCACCTGCCAGAATCTGACAGCACTCAACATGTAGCAAATGCTCAAATGTAGTTGATAGATGATAGTGGCCTTTTAGGTTAAGATTCTTTCTTCATAGGGTACTAGTTTCTCTGAATATGAACAAGAATCAATAAGTAGGATAGCTGTTGCCTGAGATTAGGCATTGTAACTATTTATATAATTTTCATGCATGATCTTCTTTCTCACAATGTCTGTAGCACTTAGTCTGTAGCATTGATAACTTAGTATCTACATTATGTACTCTAACAACCAATTATACATCCATGATGTAAGTAGTTTTTAAAAGGTTGTGAATGTCTAAGTCTTTTAATCCTCACATGGTAAAATTTGATTTCTGGCTCTTTTGTGTGTGTCTCTCAACACCTGTTTCATGCTGGTCAGAGAGTAGGTGCTTGATAAAACCTTTTGACTTAACTCTAGTAGTTTATGTGGGCATTGGATAGGTAATTTGGTTATTTCAAACATTACAGGATTTGAGTAAGAAGATTTAGCAATGAAAGAGGCTCTCAAAATTATTAGCTGTAAATTACCTTTACTTATTTACAAATTACTTAGCCTCTTTGAAACATTTGTAAAATAGGGATAGGGATTCTTTTTTATCAGGGATGATCAAATGCAATTATTTGATAAAATATTTTGTTGACTAGGAAATATTCTACAAATACAGGTGTTGGTTATTATTTGAGATATAGCTACTCTTGGTATTTTTCTTTCATTCTTTCTTCTCTTGCCTAAAGACTAAAAGTAGGTAGACAGTGCAGCCAAGAGCCTAGGGCAGGGGTTAGAGAAAGTTAAGACAGGTAGAGACATGGCCGTTTATAAGCTGTGTTGCTTGTACAAAGAAGGGATTGGGTGATGGTCTCTCAGAGCTTCCCTGAAGGACTGTGGAGGCTCAGTGTGCGTCAGTGTCAGCCCCATAGAAAGATAGATGGAATAGGCTTCTTATTGCATCTCATTATTATTATTTTTATTTTCCTTAAAACAGTGGTGCAAAAGGACTGCACTCAAAATGTAGATGTGGTAGGAATTAAAGATAGTTTATGGATGGCATGCAGCACTCATTTATCTTTTTCATCAGGTGCAGAATCTTCCTGTTGAGAAGGGAAGAAATGGGAAAAAAACCAACAAAAAAAAAACACTACTATAGCTACTACTTATCCAAGGGAAAGGAGAGGGAGAGGGAGAGACAGAGAGAGAGAGAGAGAGAGAGGAGAATGCGCACATGCTGTGGTCACTCCATGCAAAGACCAGAGAGATATGTGGAGATATGTGGAGTGTCTCAAGTCTCAAGAAATGGGGGGAATATGTCTCTTGGAAGCTATGAACACTAATGCTTAGAAAAAGGAAACAGACCCCCCCCCAAAAAAAAAATAGTTTAAGGGACACTATCATCTTCTATTGGTGAGGATTCCTGGTCTTGGGGAGGTTCTGGAAAGTTTACTTCTGCTTCTGCTGCTTCTTCTTCTTCTTCTAGGACTGGAATAATTTCAATGTCTTCTTCAATTTTTGGTTGGGCAGATATTTCAGTCAGCTCTACCACATCTTCTTTTATTTCAATTGCCTTTTCTTTTTTTTCTTCAGCTGACAGGAGAAGAACTACATCCTAGAATACAAAATTCAACAAACTTTTCTTGACTTTTATCATTACCATATTTCTCAATAATCTCTTTGAATATTTATCAAATAACTCCTTGTTTTTATGCTATTTATTTTATTTCCCATGTTCCTCCAAGTGCCAGGATTGGTTTCCTAGATGCTCATATTCTTACCCAATCACTTATTAAGATTCATCCTCAATGCCAACAGTTTTTGCCCTCTTTTCTGGAATGATCACACAATATTTGGGAAAGAATATTGCAATATAATAGAGGAATTTATATTTTCATTTTGATTTGCCTTTAATGGAGATAATTTTGGAAATATAATTTTCGGTCTCTAATCCTAATTTTATCATCTGCAAAATGAAATAATTAGTGCTGATTCCTAAATTCTGTACTAAATCTGACATTCTATGGTTCTGAAGCAGTTAATAATAGATATTTTCTGGTTGTGGAGTTTCTTTGAACCTCTTGTTTTGGAGGAGGAATCAGATGGAAGGGTGGGTGGAAGAAGGGAATACTGAGAAATCAAGTGGAAGAACTATTGTCTTTAATCAACCTTCAACTATCTGCACACATGACACATGGAATCAAATTGGATGCTTGAGTCAAGCAGAAGTCAAGGTTAGTAAGAGGGTGAATATATTATAGAACTGTTTCATCTCTCTAACCTTTAGATTTATTTCAAATTTCAATTCCATCATTATTGGTATTTTCTGCTTCTCGGTAATATGCCAAGGCCATTTTTTATGAAGCTCACAGGCTCAAAGTCTCATTGGATTACATTCTCTATATAAAGGATCCTTTTTCTTTCTTTCATTCTTTCTTTCCTTTTTTTTTTGTAAGACATTATTTTCTTAGAGGGAGGTTGAGGACAGAATGGCTACTACTTACAGCTTTGGATCTGGAGCACAGTTTTTTCCATTCACTCTCAACAGTGCCAGCTGTCACAAGTTTTTGGAAGAAGGCAAAGATCAGCATCACTGCAAAAAGGCTCTGTAAAACAATGAAAAGATGAGGATGAAATGTAATAATAAAAAACATAAGAATAGGGTAAGGGCTCAGTAAATAACTGTTCACTAAAATTAGGTGATTAAAAAACAAATTCTTTAGGTGAGTAACGACTATCTGTAAGAACTACTAGTATCTTTATAACCCTAAGCCTTAGCACAACTTCTGACACTGAAGAAATTGTTAATCCATGTTGCTGATAGAAAGTGAGTAATAATTAGTTGAAAAATCAATTCTACGTAGGAAAGAATAATTACTGAGTCACAAATTAATTGTATCCAGCTTTATTTAGGTGGTCTCACACCAAGGAAACCTCTTCACATTTGGGATATGCACCTTTCCCCCTTTAAACTCTACACTAAAAACTCCTTGAGGCAGCCCTAGCTGGTTTGGCTCAGTGGCTAGTGTTGGCCTGGGAACTGAAGGGTCCCGGGTTCAATTCTGGTCAAGGGCACATGCCCGGGTGGCGGGCTTGATCCCCAGTAGGAGGCATGCAGGAGACAGCCAATCAATGATTCTCTGTCATCATTGATATTTCTATCTTTCTTTCTGAAATCAATAAAAATATATTTAAAAACAAAACAAAAAACTGCTTAAGGCAAAAGTTATTCATAACAACTTAGGTAGTTCTTCAATGTTCATCTCAATAATAATAATAAATGTAAATACCATTAACAATATTAATGTTAAAACAAACACATACATAGCACTTTCTGTGTACCAGACACTGTTCTAAATGTTTTGCATATATTGACTCATCCTTCAAAACAGGGGTGTAAGTAAGTACTGTTATCTTCTCCATTTCATGATTAAAACTGAGACAGAATGTGGTTAAAATTCTTGCCCAAAGGCATGAGGCAATAAGCACCAGATGCAGACAGTCTGGATCTAGAGTTGATGCTCATAATAAAAATGCCACACTTCCTCTCTGAAAAGGAATCATATTTCACACTTACCAAGAACACTGTTCGAATTCTGTAACAATATGGTACATATAAAGGGTTTTTCTCAGCAGGGTTAGCTGTCTCACAGTTGTGTATGTTAATATATGGTACAGAAGCCTTAATAAAGTTGAGACTCTCCACTTTAAAAAAATTGGAAATTGTAATATTAAATATGTCCATGATCAAAAGAATTATCCCAGAAATGGCAGCAAAGAGGCTCAATGAGTTCATTATCATTTTCCCTTTGACCTGAAATGAAGACATAAAGAGTCATTAATTGGGTTTGATTTCCATTTGGAGAATTTAAGCTAGGAAGGTATTCCAGATCTCATTCCTCTGACTCACAGAGGTACTACTAAATCATCCTATATTACACTTCCCTCAGTTGTTTTTAGTTTTCTGTTACTGTAAAATAAAAATCTTCATCTCTCAATTTTGTTCCTTTCTCCATATTTCCCATCTCATTTTATGCCATCACCACCCAATCAGTTTTTTCCAGAAATAATTGTAGGAATAATCCTTCATTCTTATAAATTTTCCCCTTGCACTTACTTTCACTACCATTGTTACCATCCTAGTAGGTATTTAATAAATATTTATTGGGTAAATGAAAATAAATAGTATTCAGAGCATATCTGTCTGTGTAAGAAGGTAGAAGGGAGAGAAAAAAGAAGGTTCTTCCACCTAATAAAGTGGGTATATGTAGGGAA